GCGTGTGTGGTGTGTTTGTGTGTGTGTGTGTTTTGTTGGTGTGCGTGTGTGGTTTGTTGGTGCGTGTGCGTGTGTGTGGTTTGTTGGTGTGCGTGTGTGGTTTGTTGGTGCGTGTGCGTGTGTGTGGTTTGTTGGTGTGCGTGTGTGGTTTGTTGGTGCGTGTGCGTGTGTGTGGTTTGTTGGTGTGCGTGTGTGGTTTGTTGGTGCGTGTGCGTGTGTGTGGTTTGTTGGTGTGCGTGTGTGGTTTGTTGGTGCGTGTGCGTGTGTGTGGTTTGTTGGTGTGCGTGTGTGGTTTGTTGGTGCGTGTGCGTGTGTGTGGTTTGTTGGTGTGCGTGTGTGGTTTGTTGGTGCGTGTGCGTGTGTGTGGTTTGTTGGTGTGCGTGTGTGGTTTGTTGGTGCGTGTGCGTGTGTGTGGTTTGTTGGTGTGCGTGTGTGGTTTGTTGGTGCGTGTGCGTGTGTGTGGTTTGTTGGTGTGCGTGTGTGGTTTGTTGGTGCGTGTGCGTGTGTGTGGTTTGTTGGTGTGCGTGTGTGGTTTGTTGGTGCGTGTGCGTGTGTGTGGTTTGTTGGTGTGCGTGTGTGGTTTGTTGGTGCGTGTGCGTGTGTGTGGTTTGTTGGTGTGCGTGTGTGGTTTGTCGGTGTACGTGTGTGGTTTGTTGGCGCGTGTGCGTGTGTGTGGTTTGTTGGTGTGCGTGTGTGGTTTGTTGGTGCGTGTGCGTGTGTGTGGTTTGTTGGTGTGTGTGTGTTATTGCAAATCACCAGAATATCCTGTGAAACCGGTCTAGTGGGGCAGGGGGAGACATCCCGATCAGCTCACTGCCCAAAGGGCGGAGGAGGCACAGAGACGGGCCCCGTTGACAGAGGAATCTCTTTGACAGGACAAAGAACCAATCAAAGCCCTGGCCACGCAGGAGTCCAGTCATGCAGGGAGCGATGGAACGGCTGCGTTTTCCTCATGAAGCTCTGACTCATCTTGAAAAGCGTCCAGAACGGATCGGGTGGGTTTTCTTATTGTGCTTCAAACCCATCCCCCCTCGGTGGGTCCTCAGACAAGTTCCCAGCCTCGGAGGAGGGGGGGGGGCAGCAGTGGGATATTTCTTCTTGGGGTGGAGAAGGGAAGGGGCGAGTCGGAAACTGCTCCTGCGTGACTCATTCGGCAGGACAAATGCAACTTCGCTCATCCCTCTGCCGCCCTCCTCCTCCCCTTCTGCTGGGAGAGCGAGAGCGAGAGCGAGCCGTGGAAAAACATCAGCGCTTTTATGTTCCTCTCCCCTGGCATCTGTACACAGGGAACCTTTCCAAGCCACAGCGATGGCTCCATCTGCCGCTCGGGGAGGGAGTCCTTTTCCTTTTAATGGTCACCTAGGACGAGTCTCCGAAGTGACCTTGGAGGAATGTCTGTGCCAAAGGAAGGGGGGTGTCTCTGAGCCTGGTGTGTCAATGCTCAGAGGGTTTAAAAAAAACACTTCCCAATTCTCCACTGAAATTTCAAATAAATAAATAAATAAAATAAGCCCCCCCCCCCCCCC